TGCTGCCTCGCAGGGAATTAACCACTCCGTTCTGTGTCATCTGCAGATACGATCAGCATTCCCGGCACCTATTCAGCAAAGTAATTAATAAAAACATAGAAGAGCACTGGGCCCAGGACTGGTAGGAGTTACCTACTCATATCTTGGAATTTAATGCAAGGAAGTGTAAATGGATTTTCCATACCCTCGTGACAGCTAAAAGGCTAATATTACAATATGGGGAAAATGACAAAAGTGAAGTTATACATAGGGCACATCATAAGACAGCAAAAATCCCTGGAAAAGACAATCATGCTAGGAAAAGTAGAAGGCAGAAGAAGAAAAGGAAGACCAAATAAGAAATGGACTGACTTCATAAAGGAAGCTACCACTTTGAATTTGCAAGCCCTCAACAAGGCTGCCATGGACAGGGCACTTTAGAGGGTCTCCATACATACATACAGTTGCCATAAGTCGGAGACAACTTTATGACACATAACAACATAACAAACAATACTGGAAAGATAAACAGCCACCTGTAATAATGCAATGGGTGGAGGATTTAATGACACTTTAAGTTCTCGAAAAGGGTAGCCTTTGGGTGTAATTTACAAATGGATATATAAACGGATATCTGAGATGCCTTTGTTGAAGTCTACACATGATAACTAGTGCTATGTTCTGTTTGGTACTGTTCCATCTTCCAGAGATTCTCCCTTTCCTCAGCTGGGACAAAACCTTGCTGCAGACCCATGTTAAGAGCCCTGTTCATAAACCTCTTTCATTACTAGCACTCGTGAGGAACCTGAAACCAGTAGCCACAGCATCTAGATAATGCCATCAGAACCGTCTGTATTAGTCCTTTTTATCACAGCTATTGCATTATTCTCTTTCCCCACAGCCATCCTGCTAAATGCTTCGCTATGGTTGTCTTGGAGCAGAAGGACCAATTTGCAAGAGCTGATTCAATTTTAACCCTAACAGAACATCTCCAGCTTGGCCATTCCGTTCTCCCCATGGTTCTCCAGTGCCTTTAATTCACCTTGACAAGGGGAGAATAGCTGTGTGCACCAGCCTTCCCAAAGGCCATGCTGGTTGTGGATAATAGGACATAAAGTCCAACACATTTGTAGGATGCCACAGTGAGGACCTACACTGGTATATGCTCTCCATGGCTTCAAGATCATCGGTTTATCCCGGACTAGTGGGGGAAAGTTATAGTTGACCAGTAGGTCAAGTTAAAACCAAATACTGGAACTTATGAAGATGACTTTCAGGAAGCCAAGTCAGTGTGTACATGTGTGGGTGTTCTGTTTTGGTGGAAAATTACTAAATCTGGACATTCCTGTGAATTAGCTTGGGAAAAGACTCTAGCTTCAATATTTTGACAACCTGAATTCATACTTATTCTGAAGAGACTACCGTAAATTGCTGTGAGGATGACAAATTGAGTGTCCATGATTCATGGGGCCTTACAGAATAGCATGGCAGGAGGGGGAAGGAAAACCCAAAGCACTGAAAGGCAACAGGTAAGCAGCAGCAGAGAAAACAAAGGGGAGGGAAAGAGGTTAAAAAGCTATGAAAATGAGGAAATGCAGTCACGTGTGCCTCCTGTGGCTTTTCCCAATCAGAGGTGATAGCAGGGCCTGTCAGATGGGAGTGTGGGGCAAGGCGGACCATCCACCTTAAGCTTCACATTCACAGTGGAGATTAAATTTCAATGTGCTCAAACAGAGCAGAAGTAGCTACTGTTCAACTATGGGGCAATATTGTTGTAATGGCCATGCAATGCAGCCATTCTTTGACATTGTAAGAAAACCTAATTTTCCCACCATAATCAGTGAATTTTTACAGCTTGGGGCAAATAAAGAGAAAGCTGGAGAAGCACTGGTTAAATATATCCAAGGACCATTGATTACAAATTATTGCATTGCTGTCTTTTTTTGTGCTAAAAGTGCCAATTTGTTAGATGTGTTGAAGAAAGCCCTTTACTCAGTTTAGGAGGTGTCTATCGGATCAGGCAGCGGGGAAAGAGCTGCAGAGTGCACTCACCGGAGCGGCGTGGGTGGTCTGTCTATACAAAACAGAGCACGGGGGTTATGGGATGTAGCACTGAAAAAAAGCAGAAATGAAAATAGCAGAACTGGCACAAAGGAGGTGCTCTTCTTAGGGAATGATAAAAATGCTTACAGCTTCTTGTCTAGACGCCTGGTGTGGAAACTATCATATTTCTCTTTTTACTTCCTTCCAGTAATTCTTCACCTGTTTATCTCCTCTCCTTTCTGAAGCCTGACTTAGCATGACTTTTAGTATAAATTGAAATAAATGAGCTTGAAGCTTATATCAGATGTAGTTTCTTCCATAAATGTAAACAATGACATAAAACCATTTTTGTGACCCCGTTTCGACATTTTATACCAGCCAATAGCCGAGGTTTCCTTGGTTTAATATGTGAGGAGGAATTTAAGGAAAACATTGAAAAAATCAGGATGTGAAATAACTTCAAACCCAGTTAAATACTTTGGGATAAACCTCATAGGGCATAATGACACACTTTTCCAAGACAATTACCAATATTGTGGAAGACAATGAAGATATTCTGCTGCATTGTTTTATCTTCTAAATCCCTGTGCTGAAGTAACTGTCGGGACAAAATGAGCAAAAGCTCTGCCATAATATGGCTGCTAAAGGCCTCATAATATGGCTGCTAAAGGCCTGCCACTGTAAGAGCAGCTTTAGATTTAAGATGGGATTATGGATCTGATCAGGAATCCATCCTGCAAGTCTTGCTTCCCACCGGCATCTTAGAAATGCTAGCATCCCTTTTTGTTGTAGTGACAGATTTTATTTTCCTGGGCTCCAAGATCAGCGCAGACGGGGACTGCAGCCAAGAAATTAAAAGACGCTTGCTCCTGGGGAGGAAAGCTATGGAAAATCTAGACAGCATACTAAAAAGCAGAGACATCACCCTGACAACAAAAGTGCATATAGCCAAGGCTATGCAATGTATGGCTGTGAAAGCTGGACCATAAGGAAGGCTGAGCGCAAAAGGATTGAGGCCTTTGAATTGTGGTGCTGGAGGAGACTCCTGCGACTCCCTTGGACTGCAAGGCGATCAAACCGTTCAGTCCTAGAGGAGATCAACCCTGACTGCTCTTTAGAAGGCCAGATCCTGAAGATGAAACTCAAATACTTTGGCCACCTCATGAGGAGGAAGGACTCACTGGAGAAGACTCTGATGCTGGGTACAATTGACGGCAAAAGGAGAAGGGGATGGCAGAGAATGAGATGGCTAGATGGGGTCACTGGGGCAGTGAGTGTGAGCTTAGGTGGACTCCGGGGGATGGTGGAGGACAGACAGGAGGACCTGGAGGAATGTTGTCCATGGGGTAGTGAGGGGTCGGACACGATTTTGCAACTAACAACATGTGCCTTTAGCAACCTGCCAACCTGATCCTGCACTCCGCCTCCTCCAAGCGGTAAGCAACTGATAGGTTATAAAAGCATCTTGTGCAGACTCCCTCTTCCTAGTCCCTTCAGGGGCTGCCTACATGCCGCATGTATTTCCCATGTGTCTCAGTAAACTGTAAATGTTTTTTGATTGCATACCCCCAGAGGACTCTCTAAGGATGATTTTTTTCACCCCTGTCATAACCCTAATGAATACATGCACACTCTTTTTTGATTCAATGTACCAATTACCTTAGGTGAAGCCAAGCTGAGGCAGGCGGCTGAATTAGTAATACTTCTTGCTGACACACCTTGCAAAGATTATAGTGTGAGATAAGACATTACAATATACTGTCAGCAAAACGTTCTTATAAGAGCTGTTCACTGGAGTCCAATGAGATCATTATAGTTACCATGCTATACAATTTATATTGTTGTAGTTCTATGTTTATGCAACATAGGCTCCTAAGATCACTGTCGGAATTCCATATAAAATTTATAGACATACTGGCTGGGATGACAAATGCCCCGTGCTCAGGAATAGTGTGTGTTTGCATGCGCATGCATATGAAGTCCCATCTATGCGCACAGGTGATGTGGGGAAGGTGTGTTGCACTTTACAGAATTCCAGCAATGAAAAGCCAGTCCCCTGCCCTGAACAAGTTAGAATCTAAATTCAATGGGGGAGGCGGAAAAAGAGAATCAGTGCTCAAATTATGATGCAAGTTTGGGGAGCTCCACAGTGAAATCTTGTTTTTTCCTGTGCACACTTCCCCTCTAGCCTTCTGAAAACAGTGCCCTGAAGAGCTGAAGCAAGGTGGCTAAGCCCCTTGTGACCCTCTTGCAATTTGGCCACTGAGTGGAGGCGAGAGGCTCTGTAGTGAAAGACCTGGGCCAGTCACTCTCTCTCGACCCGATCTAACCATTGTGAGGATAACATGGGAGAAGGGCATTGTGTAAGCTATCTCAGGTTCCTTGGAAGACAAAAGGCAGGATATAAATATAATAAAAGAAATGGAAGTAAACTGGGCAGGAATGTGCATTCTGTACCGTGGGAGATATGGCCAGTGGGGATTGTCAGAAGGTCTGCAAGACACAGGTGAGCTCTGAGGTCTATTTACATCTGGCAGGAATGCAACCCTGGCAAGATACAATATATCAGCATCTGTTAATGTTTAAGCGTAAAGAGAGCGGGCCGCGCGTGCCAGAACACGAACAAGCCTTTTGGCAGATGATACAGGCAAAGAGTCCCCGCAACGCGGCCGCCGGAAGCATCCAAATGCACAAATAAGCCACTCTCTTCTCCCTCCGGCCGGAGGGACAAACAAGTCTGGGTCAGATTCACACAGGAGGCCTTGAAAGCTTGGCCGGAGGCCCGTCGGCATGGCAACCCCACACCACGGGCCCTTCCTGGCTTGCTCAATGAGGCTGGCCTGTCCCGCCATCAGCCCCAAATTGCTGAATGGGAGGAGCGCCGCTTTGTCCACGCTTCCCGTCCGACTGGGATCTTCGCGGGCCGGAGAGGAGCGCGCACTCCGGCTGCTGCGCCGAGCGCGAAGCTGCACGCACCGATGCCTTCTGCGAGGCCCGCGCCCTGCCTTCTCGCCGGGGTAATCCTCTGGCGTTTGCTTTCAGCCCAGGCAGCCACCAGAACTTACTTCATCGGCATCCGCGAGGAGAACTGGGATTATGCTCCCACCGGGAAGAACCTGATCACAGGGCAAGACCTCGCAGAGGACGGGTAAGTCCTCGCAGCTCCCCGGGGCTCCTCCGCGCGAGCCGTGCCGGCTGCGCCAAAGGCTGTTTCTTCCCTTGGCGCAGCTCTCGCCCGCCCGCCCGCCTGCCTGCCTGCCTGCCGGGCGCGCGTTGGGCTCGGCGCTTCCCAGGTTGGCCGGCCTCCCCTCCGCCGCCCACAGGGAATGGCCGGGCACTGAAATGCTGCCTTTGAGCCGGGCTGGTTAAGAGGAAAACAGAAAAACAAACACTCCAAAAAGTAATGTGGAGTTTGGCTCTTTTAACTGCTGCCGGATGCTTTTGAGTGTGTATTAAAGACACGCTGCTTCACATATCCACAGTTACTGACTGGGAATAGAAACCCATTTCACATCCCTTGCCTTAATTGTGTTTGTTTATTTATGATATGTTTATTGCACCTTGTTCCTGCGGGTGCCTTACATACTCCTTTGCAGCCTCCCCATTTTTATCTTCCTAACAACCCTGTAAGGTAGGTTAGAGTCTGTGACTGGCCCAGTCACCCAATGTGGTCCATGGCTGAGTGGGGACTAGAATCCAGATCGCTTGCGTCCCAGTCCAGCTCATTAACCAGTACACCATACTGACTGGTAAGGCAAAGATACTGATGTTACTCCTACATAGAGGAAATCCATGGATATTAATGGAATTTAAGTTAGCTGTGACTCCCTTGTTGTGGAGATGAGAGGGAGAGCAGGAGGAGAAGAATGATGTAACCCACTTTGACTTCATTGTAAGAAAAAAAAGTGGAATAGAAATCTAATAAATAAATAGCATGAGACTAATTTATTACAACAAGTCTACTTTATCTGTCTACCTGATAGATGCAGTTCTAAGCATACGTAGCACCATAACTATCCCATTGAATTCAAAGTGACTTAGTTGCCATATAAACCTATTTAGGATCAAGCTATATTGAGATAATGGGGCTGTAATTTAAACATGCTTTCTCGGGAATAAGTTCCATTTAATTCAGTGAGGCTCACTTTTGAATAAAAATGCTTGATGTTAGGGTTTTGTGCAAATTTCCCATGTAGATAGGATAAGAAAAAGTGATGTGGAAAAGGAACATGAGGCTAAGCCATTTTAAGAGATTGAAATTCCCTGATTTTCAGTGCCATTAAGAACTGAGATGTTTTATGAAACATTCATTAAATGTCCAGGGCAGAAGCTCTTGCCTGAATTTGTTATTACATTTAAACTTCATTAAAAATGCTTGATTTCTACATACCTTTGAAGTTTGCAAAGAAACTTGGAGAAGAATATTTGTCTCAAAGAGTGAAGTTTTTTACAGTAGTGAAAAGTGACTTTGCTTGGACCATTGAAATTGAGAAGGATCAAACAGAATATGTGTGTGAGAGAGGCACTAGGAGCCATAATTTTTCAAAACTAACCATTCTACATTAAGTCTTCTTTCCATGAACATAAGCACTCATATGTTCATCTAAATGTTTGTTTGTGTTAACAATAGGTTGGTGCATTTTGTATCTATGTGGGAGAGTATCATCTCTGTAATAAGAAATTGTGTAAAACAGTTCTCATTGTCCAGCAGAAAGCACATTTCTCTTTAGCCTAGGCAAGCAACAGGTTTGTGCAACACCAGTTCAACAAAGGATTTATTTTGTG